TCCTAAGATTGTGAACACCATATTTGTATTCTATTCAGGTAGATGCAACAACATTAGGAAGAAGAAATTATAGTGATGCTCGAGAAATTCAGACCTATTATAAGTATTACTATGGAAAATACATTTAAGGATTGCAAAATAATGATAAAGCTGATTGGTAATCATCTTCTTGGTTATGAGTATTATTTTTATTTGTTGTTGTATCCTGATTGTAGAAAGATACTACTAATGTTAGTAACCGTCTTGCGAAAGCTTATCAAAATGTTATTGCATTGTTTGTGGTTTTGAAGGCTGTCAGTCTGGCATAATCTATCGAGGTGGCGGATGAGGTAATTTTTGGATATTTATATTCCTTTATAAAGTTCATTTGTTGATTACATATACTTGATGCAGTTTTTTGTAATTATTATTGTGTATGTGTACATAGAAATTGAAAGCACATGCACATGTTGTGGAGAAGACAGAAATGTATACTCATAATATAATTTCACTTGACACTAAAAGTTCAGATCAAGTGTTACCTAGACATCTAAAGGTTAGTTTGAGAAATCATGTATGTAGATTTGTTCTTGTTGACTGGTTCAGTATTAATTAGTACAAATCATGTCACAAATGAAGCAATTAAACCACCTCAAAATCCTCCTACAAGTCATTAAAAATTGTATGCAAGATTTCGACAAAAGAAACTTCATTGGGAATGGTGGATATGGAAGGGTCTACATAGGGATTCTCTCCTAGGTTGATTGTATGAACCAGCTAGTTGCTTTAAAACGGTTACATGTCATTGGGTTTCATGGTACCAAGGAGTTCCTTACTGAGGTAACAATGCTTTCACAGTATCAGCATTAGAACATTATGACCCTTATAGAGTTTTGTGGTGATAACAACGAGATGATTCTTGTGTTAGAATTACATGTGATTCACATGTAAATCACATATGAATTACATGGAGTCACATGCAAATCACATATGAATTACAAGTGATTCACATGTAAATCACATATGAATTACATGTGATTTTCATGTAAATCACATATGAAATACATGTAAATCACATATGATTCATATGTAAATCACATATAAATTATGTCTATATGCACACATGCATTTTGTGTGAGTGTTCTTAGTTAATTATTTTTTAAAATTTTCTTGTGAATTTCACATTTGAATATTAAAATATACAATCACATGTGAATATCACATTATATAATCACATGTGAATCTTAAATGATATAATCATATGTGAATCTTATATGATATGATATGATATATATATATATATATATATATATATATATATATATATATATATATATATATAGATGCATTTTCAGGAGTGCTCTTGCATTAATCAATTTCTTTTTTAATTTTCTTGTAGATTTGGAAGAATTTATGAAAATTATTAAATACGTCAAAATGATAAATTGATGAAAATGTGGCAATCTTGACAGGAACACATGAAAACATTGAAATTTTGTAGCATTTTTTGTTTTTTATGTTGTATTTTGTATCAAATAAAATACTTACTATTTCTGTTTATAAATTAGTAAATAAAAATATGTTTTTTTATGATTTATTTACGAATATTATAGTATAAGAAATATGCATATATGCACTTGAAAAAAATATGCATATATGCACCTGATGAAAGGTTGGGTTTTTTGGTTAAAAATATCATACTATTTTTTAAATATTGCAGTTCTCTAAAAAATCTATTTCTTTTTAAAACTTTACTTTATATATATATATATATAATTACATTTTCACTAGATGTTCACTAGTTTTTAGAAATGGTTATCACTTCATATTATTTACCTTTTTTTTAAATTATTGTAACATTATATTAGATAAAAAACACAATTATTAAACATACATAAATATTTTTTTAATAAATAACATTAACTTAAATAAAAATATTTTTTTTTAAATTCAACATACATTTAACTAATAAAAAAACATTAATAAAACGTTGAAATAAAAAAAATACTACTCCTCGTCATCGTTGTCCTCACCGACGGCCTCATACTCATCGTCCGCATCATCATCCTCCTCATCGTCGTTGTGGTCTTCGAAATTTTGTTGACATATGTGTTCAGTCAAATCTTGACATAATTTGTGATGTGTTTTACTGTTTTGTATTTCCAAAAGTCTTGTAAAGTATGTAGGACTGTCGACTTGTATTATTGCAGGTGGATTAAGCATATCGTTCGCAGTATATGTAAAAATAGCCCTACCCTATTCTTCTATTATCACGTTATGTAAAATAACACACGCTTTCATCACGTTCATCAATTTTTCTTATCTCATGTTCGTGTTGGATGTTTGATTATGTGTTACTTCTATTTGAGGACTCTCAATGTCCGATTTACATCCTTCCTTGCAAATTCCTGTGATAACTTGAAAAAATTTTGTTTTTCATCATTCGGATATGTGTATGATTTGACAAATATAGCGTACTCTGGATATATCTCATCACCAAGGGAATGTCCATAATTGTATTCATGTCCATTTACAATGTATGGCATGTTTGGTGCTTTACCCTGCAAAATTTCATTAAATAACGGAGATGCTCCAAGCACATTCAAGTCGTTAGTTGACCCTATCATACCAAAAAATGCATGCCAAGAACAAGGGTTCTGTAAAACAACTACTTCTAGTATAACAGTAAGCATACCATGATCACCTCGAGTGAATTGCCGTCGCCATGCATTGGGACAATTTTCCCACACCCAATGTGTACAATCAATGCTACCTAACATTCCTAGAAATCCATGTTTAGCCTAATGTGCGGCATACAATTGTTCGACATCAGTTCTAGTCGGATTTCACAAGTATATGCAGGGTCAGTCCAAACGTATATGGGGATCGGGGCGAAAAGAAAAAATGTCCCCTTAAAGACAAATATAATAAAGATTCAAAAGAAAATCATTTATTCTTCACTATAAACGCGTTCAATTAGTAATAACAATCAAGCCAAATTGTTTATGTTTTGAGCTAGTTTGAGTTTAACCAACTTTAAGCCCTAAAAAACATTTAAGTAATAATATATATATATATATATATATATATATATATATATATATATATATATATATATATATATATATACACACACATTATATAGCCCAGAAATTTTGGGCCCCAAGGAGACGTGGGCCATGGGCGGTCGTCCGGGTTGCCCACCGTCTAGACCGACCCTGAGTATATGTCACCGTAAAGCTCTATAACATACTCGCAAAAAAGATATGTGCATTCTCCACCAATTCTCGCAGCCATTTTCAAATATTCATCTGAAGCGTCTGCGGCTATGCCGTACGCCAATTGTCTAAGAGCTGTTGTGCATTTTTGAAACGTAGTAAAATCACGTTTACCTCTAGCATCCCATCTCAATTGGAAAAACTCATGATTGTTTTCCAAATCTACAGTTATAAGTATGAATAAATTTCTACTAATACGAAAACGATCCTCAAATTTCGATGGGTCGTATAAACTATTAGGGCTAAAGTAATCACGTACCGAACGTTCGTTCGCCGCGATACGATCCCGGTTGATCGACTTTCTTTTTTTCTTCTCGGCATTTGAACTTTCGCCTTCCTAACGTACAAAGTCGTGTGTTGCAGACAACAATGTATACAAAATCAACTCATCATCATCGGAATCATCATCAGATGAAGAAGAAATGGCACCCAAAAAATTATTCATATTTTTATTGTTAAGTGTTTTTTTTTCTAGTTGTAGTAAAATTTGACATAGTAAGGCGGGAAGGCATGGGCAAGGCACTTACAAGGCCTTTCACAGCTCAAATCCATGCATTAAGCCGCTAATCCCTTTTATAGCAAAGTCCCAGCAGGCTACCTCATCGGGAAATCTAAATTCTTTCACCGAACCAAGGGGCACGATGAATACATTGATTATCTGGGTCCGATCGTCGCTAGAGGTCCGTCAACTAAAATACACTGGTCGAAGTTTCTTCGTTTCTGCCGAAACAAAACGAGATTAGCTATCTTAACCTTAGCAGTTTTGCGAGCAAACGTAGACGAGTGCTTGCAAGAGCAGCAAAGCCCTACTTATTGGGAGGGGACTCTTTGGCACCTTAGATAAATTCCTTTACCTAGGGGATCAAGTGGTAGTTGATCAATGAACTAATATCTTTCGGTATAGGGCGAAGGTAAGGGCTTAGGCATAGCACGAGGGTTATTAAGATCACATCCGTTGTAAGACTATAAGAAATGATGGATTGTGTCCTCCGAGCAGAAGGTGTCCTCAGGGCTTAGTTGGGTTTGTTTGAGTCTAAATATTGATTACGTCGAGTAAAGAGGCCTTAGTGTTCAACGCACCACATCGATTCTTATGCAATCCATCTATATTTGATGTATATTGTGTTTGTGTATATAAGTGAGGTTTTAATATTAAAAAGAAAAAATAATAATAATAAATGTTAACGGTCAAAAAATGGGAATAAACGGTCAAAAAACGAATAACCAATCACATTGAACGTAAGTCTCCGTAACCAGTACTACTCTGCGTCACACTCACCCTAGCTAGGGGCGGTGTTCACGCGTGAACACCCCTTGCCAGCTCAGTTTCACGCGTCAAAATGTCCCTCATACCCTTCGGCCTAATAGTTGAATGTGCATTAAAAAAGATAGATGAATCTGAAGTAAAAAGTAATCATCATTCGTGCATTTAGAATTTCGTTTTTGTATGATTGTGTATGCTTTTGAAATGGAAGCTAATCTATAAACAATAATTTATGAAATAATAAAAATCATTGCATCCCTTTGCAAAGATGCTTAACACTTGGTCTTTGTGTTTGTTGAAAAGAAATTATGTTGCGATTTTAATGGATTAGAATTTAGACAAAAAGAATAAGTGAAATATTTAAATGCTTGAATAAAAATAACATGACATGACTCATGAGTTTCCAAGTTTAGTAGCATAAAAGAAAAACAAACAATTTATAAATAAAATTTATAATTTTATTTAGTGGGATGAGAGGGTTTCTAGGCTTGTGTGTCTCGGGACCAATAAAGTGGCATAACATTAGCATTGATTAATTAACAGGAAAACTTATAGAATAGAACTAGAAAGAAAGAGAGATGATATAATATGATATAAATGGACAATCTATCGGGTCTGTTGAAGGTTAAGGTTAAAAGAGGTCTGGATCTTGCAGTTCGTGATATCACCGACAGCGATCCTTATGTTGTCATCAAAATGGGCGATCACGTATGTATATAATATATAGATATTGCTTGTTTACCTCATATTCTTAGATTTTTCTATCGAAATTAGATATTAATACACACCCAACCAACAACAAACAAAGAAGAACCCAAACCCCTCCCTTACCAATCGAAAATGTGGATGTACAATTATTGTGCGTACGTGCGGACAATGTTATTCTATGAGAATTACTAAAAGAATAAGTTATTTAGTAATGCGAATACGTTTAATTCTTCCAGTAGTATCGGCCATTTACCCCACTTCCCTCCACATTTCATCAAGTGGTCATGCTAGTACGAAGTTTCATATTTGATTTTTAAATAGAGCGATAGAGACTTCATTTCACTTAGGTTAATCTAGGCCAGAGGCAGACCTACGTCAAGATAACCCCCCTTGAAAAACTTTGGTAGTGTTCCTGAATCTGAATCCACATAATGACTCAGAGCACATGGAGCCATCTCCTTATTTTTCGGTAAAAAATTCAACCTTACAAAAATATCGTCATTTTTATGCATTCTCACTAATTCTTATTCATTTTTTTTTCTCACACATCGTTTTTCACTCATTTTCATTCTGACAGAATACAACCCAATAAGCATTCTGACAGAATAAGAATAATAATAAAAAATCAATAATAACCTTATAGACGATGATATTAGTGAGAACGTATGATAATGACAATAGTTATGTAAGATGGAACGTATTCATATTATCAAACAACATATTTTATTTGTTATTTTCACAGAACAGCACTGTCAACACGTCCGCACAATAGATGTTAATCCACATTTGAATATATATATATATATATATATATATATATATATATATATATATATATATATATATATATATATATATATATATATATATATATATGTCCTTAAGTTGTTGCTTTGATCTAATAAGAAATCTTGATAAGTTGTGGCAGAAACTGAAGACTCGGGTTGTGAACAATGATATTAATCCGGTGTGGGACGAAGAACTGACTCTTGCTGTTGAAGATCCAAATCTTCCAATAAAACTAGTAAGTTATTTTATTAATATAAAATATAAAAGCTTATCCGGTAATTAACATAGTTGGTGGGTGCAGACGGTGTACGACAGCGATTTGTTCTCAATGGATGACCCGATGGGAGATGTAGAATTTGACTTGAAATCGTTTTTGGAGGCAATGAAGATGCCTCGTCTGGAGAGGCATCCAAATGGAACTCTTCTCAAGAGAATACAGCCTTCCAGGACAAACTCTTTGGCTGAAGAAAGCTGTATAATATGGAAAGACAACAAGGTCCTCCAAGACCTATCTTTTAGGTTGCGACATGTGGAATCTGGTGAAGTTGAAATCCAACTGTCTTGGGAACATCTACCCGGTTCTAAAGGATTCTAGACTTGTTTTTTTTTTTTTGTAAAACTGATTATTGTGAGATGTACTGTGGCTACACTTTTCAACTGCTTTTTGATGCTTTGTTTCGTTAGATGCGTGATTATTAGTAAATGTCACGAACAATTGAAAACCAACACTAGCATATGCGTAATGTAATGTGTTAGAATCTCATCCCCCTGTTATTAACTTATCAACCCTTGTACCACTACTCTAACTTAAAACTGCTTTTTCGTTTTCTTTTTTCAAATAATCAAGACTTGCATGTATCGTATTCTTCAAAGTAAATGATTCCTAGATTCCCTCTTTATAGAGTCGGCGTGTTTGTGTAAGCTTACTTTTGTTGGGCTTAACAGCTAAAAGCATAAAAATAAAAATTGGATTAGCTTATGACTTACTAGCTAATAAGTTTTCTTTTTATTTAGATTGTTTTTGTAAAATAACTAAAAAGGAGAATTATATAGTGTTGGGAAAAAAAGAATTATCTAGGGCTGAGGGTAAATACATAAATATATACAAATAAGCCAATTATTTTAAGGAAAAAAAAATTGTTTTCACCTCACTTATGAAATTCGGTAAACTTAAGCTAATAAGCTAACCCAAACACTAAATTTTCATAAACCCAAAAAAATAAGTTGATAAGCTAAAAAGCTTCAAAAATAAACTAAAACGAACACCCCCATAAATATGCATCTCTCATTTATATATATGGCACAAATGATGATGCTGATTGCTAAAATACAGGTTAAAATTCATTTCAAACAATAACTAGTTGTAACCATTTTTAGCATTTAAATGACAGATAGTAATGGATATGGACTACCATAAAGGAACATTTGTTGTTAACTCAAAAGTAAAAACCAATCAAATTCAGAAACAAAGACCGACCATAAATTAAGTTTCTGTATCACATTAGAAAATATAATTTGTTTATCCTTACATCAACTACCTACTTCCAATTTTAATTATATATTTTGATAGGAGAAACTCAAGCATATGACGACCCTATATATTTCTTCTTTTCAAATATACATATAAATAAGAATCAACTCTTCAATTCCATTCATGGTAAATAAACCTGAAATCCCATTTAAACCTTACAAGATTTGTTTAGTATGATGAAATTGAATGACTAAAGAATAGAATGGACAACGAAATAGAATGAGCAAGGTATTCAAATGGATCATTACATTCCATTTTCATGTTTGGTTTGCTCAAAAAAAATTAAATGAGTCATTCAAACATGTTTTTTTATCAATAAATATAAACCTAAGTAGTATAAAATTGGTTCAAAATACATGTAATATACTTTATATATAGTTTAATAAGAATTATCTATTATCTAAAAATTTTATAAAATAAAAAGAACCACAAAGCAATGAAATCTTGAAATATAATTACAAATAAAAAATATTTTTTTTAAATAACAAAACTCTATTCGGTTGAAGCTTTGAAATTTTTTTAAAAGATTAATACTATTAAAAACTATATGAATAAAAATTATATATATATATATATATATATATATATATATATATATATATATGACATAATAATATATTAAACTATTATTATAATCCCACCCAAAATTTGAAAGAGTTCTCTTTCAAGCAAGAAGATTTGTCCATTCCAGTCGTGGCATGAGTGTTGTGTAGTGTGAGAATTATCAAATTTATAAGAAAGCACAATTAGTCTAAATAGCCCTAACCAATGGAAATCGGTTTCTGAAAAGAAACAAATGAAATCTAACATGGATACAGGTCGGAATTTATTTCCTGGTAATTAATACTACAGATTTACAACAAAAACAGATATATATATATATATATATATATATATATATATATATATATATATATATATATATATATATATATATATATATATATATTAATGTTTGTTATGTTATGTTATGTTACATGAAATAATGAACATATACTTACTTGTATACCCACCCTATTTGTTGGCTTCCTTTATTTGATTTAGTTTTTGCAAAAGAAGGGAGGAAATTAATTAATTATTTATTGTTTGATTGAGCGAAGCTCCCACTTGCCTTCACCATCAATCAAGCGTAATTCCATGGAGTGAAATGGTATTAATGCAGGACGCTGAGAAGCAGGCAGGCAGCAAGAAAAGGTATTAAAAGGGTAATTTTTTTGTGAATAAAAATGAGAGGAGTAAAAGATGCATAGGTAGGTAGGTACCTGTGAAGATGTAATAACTGTGATGCCCATGTCACGTGCAAGCCGATAAAGGTGCTCTTCAACGTCCACACTTGTAGCACTGAAACAAACAGGATATGGCATTAATTCAAATTCTTGATAAACATGAGGATAGCTTTAGCTTACTTGGTGCATTCATCTAGGACGCCAAACCGAGGCTTGTGAAAGAATAAGCGAGCCTTGAAGACAACAACAACAACAAATTACTGAATTAGAATATACAATAGCCGTAGTAATTAATACATACGATAATGATGGAATCTCACCATGCCTAATCTCTGTTGTTCACCAAGAGACAAGATGTCTTCCCAGTTCTGACTAGCATCCCACCTCCCTTCTCTTTCAAAAAGGTACAACAATTTCACATTCTCTAGAATCCTTTTTAAATGCATATCCAGAATATTTGCATCAGCAACACCACCATCTATTTGCCCTGAAATGAAATCACGACACATTTACATCATAGGTCGTACTTGAAAGTGGGAAAATGAAAATGGAAAGAATTGAAATTGACCTTGTTGATACAAACTTAACGCCCTCTTTTCGGCTTGCTCATGTGAAAGGGGATAGATAATTTGATCACGTAATGTTCCTAAACAAGTATACGGCTTTTGAGGAATATATAAAATACCAGTGCCACAACCAGATTCAGCCTCAGCAACGTCATTAACATCATGGCATGGTTTAACAAGTCGTCCATCCACTATAGGCCAAAGACCTCGCAGAGCCCTGAACACCGAGCTTTTACCACTCCCATTCGGACCTTCATTTTATATAATATATATATATATATATATATATATATATATATATATATATTTTTAATCCTCACAGGTATTTATAATCATAATCCATAATAATCTGACTAACACTAACCGGTGAGAAGAAGGCTTTTCCCTGGTACTATCTCGCAAGTCAACTTTCTGGCTAACAACTTCTGTGTTGGCGTGATAATATCAACCTCCGAAAAGGAGATAACATCCTCAGATTCCTCATTGGACTTTGATGAAGTACCAGCGTTTTCATCTGTGCAATTTCCATCAGATTATTAGTAAAAATTGAGCAGCCTAAAAGATTAGATAAAACACTAACCAGATTGTGCAGCATCAAGAAGTTCCTCAAGTTCAAAAATCCGATTAACACCACCAGACAGTTCAATGAACTTTCTATGCAGCTCCAAGATGTCACCAAAGGCCAAGAAGCTTTGAGATACAACTGATGCCAAAAACCGCAATGCATGTGCAAGCTCACCTGCTAACAAAAAAATCCACTCACATCCAAACCAAAGCATAGAAAAAAAAACCACCGATTCACAACTACTAAACTATTTCCTATTGTGGTAAACAAATGTCATGATGAATCGGAATTGAGAATTGACCTTGAGTGGAAGTCAATGAACGATCAGCTTTGTGCTCCATAGCATATAACAAGCTCAATCCCCAGGTAACATTGTGGGGTAGTTGCTTGGTGACAAAGTCATCCAGTACTCCAAATAACCATTTCTTCCTCAGAAGTATTTTAGCATGAGCAAGAAGCTCATTAAATCTTGACTCAATCATCTGCCAGACAAACCATATTCAAGTATTTATATTAGTATTATATTCCAAAATTCTCCTTTGTGGAAGGAAATATTTAAAAAAAAAAAAAAAAAAAAAAAAAAAAAAAAAGAGAGGAGTTACCGCTTTTTCTCGAGCACCACCTCCAAAGAAAGCAACAGATTCAGCATGTGTACGCAGCCTCTCGTGCATGAACCTACGTAGGTAAACAAAACATCCTCCTTAAACTTAAAGCTCTGTTATTTTGTGCAATAATGAATGGAATGACAAGTGACAAGGAAGGAGAAATAATAATTAACAAAACAAAAAGATGATCACCTAAAGCTCCCTTCAAGTTCTTGTTCCCGATTTCCCAGGTCACCAAAATCAGGAGTGACACTCCTTAGAAAGCCTAACCCTAGCAACATATATGCATATAGTATAGCAACACCACGCCGACCTGTTAACATCTTCATTCTCCATGTGAACCTACAAACACCATCAACCATTATCAAATTTTAAAATACGCACCAAGATTATTATGCCTTTCGCTTATTTATTGCCTGTGCAAAATAGCCCTGAAAAGCTTGTGTTGTCTAAGGTAAAAAAACATAGACTCACCATAAAATATCAACAGATGGCTTTACCATTCCGGTTACCAGCCCTGACAAATCTGTGCTCAACTTTTCCAAATCTTGTGTTATTCTCTGATCTGCATCAATGCTAACTCCTGACATGTGAAATACCTGAAACCACAAATGAAACTTTTCTACATCAAAACTACAAGATTAATAAAAAAAAAAAAAAACAATTGCCACTGACCGGCTTATTCCACACACTGAATTTGGATTAATTTGAAGTTAAAACTAGCTTTTCAAAAAATATAGATAGGCTTTAAAACTAGAAAAATATCCGGTTATACATAAAGAAAACTGCTATATTTGTTTGCAAACTTCATATGATTTATGCATTGATGCTCTTCAGCTTTGAAATACAATTAGATCCACTTGATCTTATGCATTGTCTAGAAAGAAGCTGAACTATAAAGTTTCAGACAGATAACAGAAAACAAAGACTTGCATTCTTCACGGAGAAAAATCCAATTTAAAGAAAGAAAAAAAGCTAAATGAAGACAACAAGGTCAAATTCAAACATTCAAGAATATGTATGTATGTGTTGATTTCCTATAGCCATTGCCCATTGTCTCTCACTCATGCACTTAATATGATTTGTCAAAACCCAGTAACCAAATAACAAGTTTTTGTTAGCTTTTATTAGACACAATTATCATTACTATACACAATTCGGCTCTTTTTGGTTTCTTGCTACCTACTCTACCTGAAAAACTACTAGGTTTACTACAACCAGGGCCAGCATCGACTTTGTCATCTGTTTTCTTGTCGCAAACAATTATCGATCAAGGCTCTCATCGTTGCTTTCACTGCCGATGAAAAGAAGACTCATAGCTCTCACATGTTTCCTTTTAATCTCACTACAACCAACTATATCTAGCTTTGAGCACAAGATGTTTGACTAGAGAACTACCATCAGGTGCCACATGTGCAACCGATCCCGATCCCGACCCCAAACCCAAACCCAAACTACTAAACCTGGATCCCCAATGATGCACATGTTCGCATGGTGACGTCCAAGGTACAACTTCTCATGAACTTTGGTCTTCTCTAGAAAGTGCCTTTGCACCACATTCATCTTCTAGATAATAATAATACACTTTTGCGAATAGAGATGAAAGGAGATGAAACTATCTTAATGTTCCGATGCCCTAGCTGCTATTGGTGCCCTGTACCAGATAAAGATCCTGTTATGCTTGTTGTCTCTTATTTACAAGACGTCTAAAGTCCACCATCACTGCCCGTACAAAACATGTAGAGCTTGATTTTCACTTAATATTATGAAGGAAAAAGTTGGATCTTCAAATACAGCTCATATCAACAAACGATCAAATTGCCCACATCTTCACAAACTCCGAGGTCTGGTTTCTCTTCCTACGGTCCAAGCTACAGCTCCCTGTCCTTAGCTTGAGGGGGCGCATTAGACACACACAGTTATCATCATTACTATAGAATACAAGGTACTAAAGTGTAATATTACGAGACAATCAAATACAAACACAATTCTGCTCTTTAGCTTTCTACTCAATCGGTCATGTTTAAGAGAAAGAATATCAAATTTCACAACATGGGTATCTCAAATCTGAAGAGTAGATAATTTGCAACTACATTGAAAAACTATGTTGAAGTTGGAACACTTTCAAGAAAGAAAATAACAAAACTTAAATTACTATAGATTAACCTTGTAATATGCGTTCTTCCTCAAATAATTTTTCAGTAAGTGTGCAGTCAAGCGTATCCTCCATCCGAGTGCAAGCCTGGCAGTCAAGTGCCTTCACATAACAAATAGAAAGTCAGTCAAACATTGATTGATCAGTAATGTAGCTTGCTTAGAAGATCATATGTTTAAATACTTGGTTGGAATCTTGTTAGTTATTTGAAGAAAGATCATATATACCTCAAAGAAGGTGCAACAAATGAAGAAGCAGCACTCTGAAGGACACTAACACCAATTAACCGTACAAAGGCTGCTTTATCTTGCTCCAAAACGTACTTCACAGTTGTTCCTGACAAGTCAAAGCATCGATTGATCAGAGGTGGGGTGGTGTAAATAAAATCATCAAGGCGTGAAGCAGCAAATTCATACCATTTAGAGAAGCTATACGATCTGAAATCCAAGTTCTTGAGACTACAAGAACAGCGACAGCAAGAAGTTGTGCTCCCTGCTTGTCAAGTACTGTGGGCACCTGCATTAAGAATTTCAAACCATTTAAAGAAAAATCATATAGCAGGGAGTAACCAGAAGAAGAATAGAAAAAGAAATGAAAACTATCCATTCCAAACAGAGAGTCAGGAATTAAGATTACACTCACCAGTACTTTAAACATGGCTGCTATTCTTAAAGGCAGTACGCGGGGATCATTTTGCAATTGTGGGACAACTGGCAACAAGGTACTGATTTCCTCAGATGGAGACGCGGCTATTAACTCTGAAAAATATGACTGAGACTTGGAACTAGAAAAAGTAGAATCCTGCAGATACAGTAAAAAACCCACAAGGTTTGAGGCATGTTACATTAGATCCAAGTAATTAAAAATATAAAAAAAAAAAAAAAAATCCACACGTTTCGTGTATTTGAGAATGCACGTTGAACTGCCATGGCATCATTCTGACGTTCCGTTTCAGAGGACTTCAATTTAGGAAAGTCAGCGTCGGCGTCGGCATCAGCAAGTGAATCCTCCCTGTAGTAGTAGATTGTTTTAAATTGTAAAGAAGAAGCAATGATATGCAATCCAGAAAAGCGAGAAGTGAGAATGGAACCTTTTGTGGTTAACTCTCCAACCCCCTTCCCCATCCAAGGATAGAACAACATCATGAAATGCAACGAGAGCAGGTCGATGAGAAATAGTGATGCATGATGTTCCCATAGCTCGGACTTTAGCACAGAAGCGTTCTTCCATATCAGTTGTCACAGCACTGGTGCATTCATCAAGAATTGCAAATCTGGGTTTGTGATAGAAAAGCCTCGCCATTCCCAATCTTTGTTGCTCTCCGAGAGACAACTCCTCCCCCCAGTTAATCTCTTTTTCAGGTGGGTAACGATTTAGCAAATACTCAAGGTCAACATTTTTTAACAGGTCAACCATTTCGCTGTGGGTCAGAGGTTCAACTTCTTGATCAGAGGTAAGAGGATAGATCAACTGGTCACGTAGTGTCCCTACAGCTGTATATGGTCTTTGGGGTACATAAAAGATCTCTTTATTCAGATCCGAACCAACCCCAGGTTTTACAATATGTCCAGACACCAAAGGCCACAGCCCTCCCAACACTCGGAACAGCGAGCTTTTCCCACTACCATTTGGTCCTGCATAAAGTCAAGTGTTTATACTTTATATCTATCTACACTTTTTTTAAAACCAAAAACATAATACTATAATTTATAAAAACACTTGCCTGTGATTAAAAGGTTAGATCCTGATTCGACCTTCAAAGTCAAGTCTTCCACCAGGACATTACCACTTGGAGTAACCACCTGACAACAACAAATTAGTTTCGCTTTCACAAGCAAGCAGATAAAAGATATATATATATATATATATATATATATATATATATACCTACCTTGACTCCATCAAACTCTATGTAGTCTGCCTGAGTTATATAATTCTTACTCCCTCTTTTCTGTAGGGATGGTACGTCTTTTGGACTTAACTCTCGAGATATAGCCATAAGTTCGTGAATGCGATCCGCATACCCACTGCAAATAATTATGCATGTAACAAATCTTGAAAGAAAGAGTGAAAGCAAATAATAAAGTAGAGTACCTTAGGCGATTGAGGCGTCTGGAACTGATGGAGAGAGTTCCCAATGACTGAAATAGCGATATAATGACACTGGTATGATATCTGAGATTGCTCAACATCTCTGCACGTCCTAATGTTGAGGTGTCGGGCCTCAAAGTGCCAGAAAAGAAAGGCTCTATGATTAGGATAACAGCAACAGTAGCACCAAGATACTTCAATAAGAAATCCTGAACCATGCCAAACCACCAATGGTCATGCTGGACAAGTTTCAAATGATTGACAAGTGCCTTGAACTTGTGCTGGATATGGGATTCCTCTCTAGTTTCACCACCATAAAATGCTATGCTTTCTGCATGAGTCCTCAACCTTGAGTGAAGTTGTCTATACTCGCCTTCAAGTTGTTGCTCTGTAGACATCAATTTACCAAATGCAGGAGAGAAGTTTCTGATAGTCGCTCCTGCTCCTAACACGTAAGCCTGATGAAGGTGACATTATTAGATGACAAGTCACAAATATGTATGTATGTATGTATGTATGTATGTATGCAAACGCAAACGGAAGGCCTCCTACCAATATCCAAACTATATATTTGGGGCTTGCATAAGAACAAAGGCGCCAGGAATATAGCAGGCCATCAGTAACTGCAGTAAGATCTTCCTGTATAAGATCACTCAATTCTGAACAGAACTTTGGTACATCACTTGCGATTCTTTGCTCAGGATTAGTTATCCGTCCATCAACATGGGACATTTTGTAGTATATCATATTCTGGAATCCAAACACACATCACATTATCAGTTACTAGTTATTACATTAACTAATGTTTGTCTGTAATTAGCATCAAACCTGAAAATACTGTGCATGAATAAGCTTTGTGAGTATCTTTCTGAACCTCAAGCTTAAGGTCCCTGTTATGTACTTGGATGTAGAATACAAAGCTGATTGAACAAAACATAAGGTAATGTTTTCAATGATCAGCTGAACAAAGGTCGGCACGCGCCGAAGAAAAGCAGCACGAAACAGGAATCCTTGGACTTTTGCTAATCTATTGCTCACAGCAGTTCGTAACATCTGAATATAACACAGACTCACATCATATCTAATCCAAATCAAATACTGGAACTTATATCAACAAAATAGATTACCACTGTGGCCAGAAGAGCTAAAAGGTCCTTTGCACCCATTTTGCCCATATGGGATAACAGAATTGCAGCTAAAACCTGGAGTGATTTCAGTCCTTTCTTTTGCCTGCTTTTTTTTATAACACTCTTGTTCCTGCTCACTCGTTCATTTTCATGATCATCTCCCAATCCATTAGTTTCATTGGGCCTTCTAACCCTGCTCTGTGAATGCATGTATGCAGCAGTCCCACCAGCAACTATAATGCCAGTTGCCAGCAATAGAGTTTTCCTACAACCACATGTAACCATAATCAACAAATTTTCTGGGAATAAGGCGGCATCACAATAGCACAAATGCCTGACTTCTCTTAATAGATAGTACAACTAAAATGAGAGAGGAGAGGAGTGTCATTTATCTCTTCCATAAAGAATCTAAACTATAAAAAATTGCAGTTAAACGCATATATAACTTGACAAACTATATGAACAGAGATCAGTGAATTAACATGATCATTGGTCACTATCATTTACCAATTAGCTTAAAAACTGCAGTTAAACACTTAAAAAAAGTAACTGATTATTCAAGCACTCACCTTTTTAGTTTTAGAGCACCTATAATCACATTGTTTGAATAAAATGATTCTATTTGGAAGAAAATGAATTGTTGCGGTTATAGTACAAGTTATTTATAGATACACTGATAATTGATGCGTAAAAGAATTTCTTATAAATGATTAAAACAAATCAATTTTCATATCTTAAAGTGAATAATTTAACGATATATAAGAATGTCCATTTTGGTCATTTTACCTATAATTCTTTAAATCACCATAACTTGACAAACACTGAAGCAATTCAGTATCTGATTGTTACAACTTCAAAAAAAAAAGCACATCCAATCGCTAACTTCTGCAGCCCGTTTTGTTACAGTTTATTATATGATTCTGATTATTTCGTATGACAATCATTTTTTAAATTCACATCCAAACACCCTCTAGCAATTGTTTCAACCCCATGAAAACATACCATACAGATTTTAACCATATGCTTTTTCCTTTCCAAAAAATCAAGAAAATTATTCAATATATCTGGTACTTAATTTCATATTCTTACGGGTAACTGGAATTTGATTAGACATGAGAACCAGCAAGAAAATGGAGGTGATTTCTAGTTTAAAGAGCATTGGCATCAATAGTGTAGAACCGTATCTTTTGCATCTTTAAAAAACATGTTCATGAAACTAAGGCATCCAATATATTTAGTAACTAACTCCATATCAATCTGGATAGCTGAAATGCTGAATTGTGAAAAAGGATAAGTAGAGAGTAGAGACCAACTTTAGAAAAGTGAGGATGTGAGATAGACTAGCTGTTGTATCTCTTGATTTATTAAATTTCACCAAAGCGCATAGAATCAACTTCAGGAGAATAGGAGAACTGATAGATTAGTAAATAGCAAAATCCTATGTATATATCTAGTGTTTTGGATCCCACATATGTCACATGGATGCAGCACTTGTACCATATATGACTCTTGAGAGTACAGATTTTATTGAGATACAGATAAGTAAAGTAAAATAGAAGAAAGTGCCACTTACAATTGCAGTGGTGAATAATGAAGTTACAGCTTAAAAACTCAAGCGATATGCACATACCCCGACCCATAATAATAGCATCTATAGGATATCATATCAATACTAATCCACAGTAATGGAACCACGAAATTTCTGAAATAAGTGCATCCAAAAAAGAAATATTGTGCCTCGCTATTGATCCAAGTAGTAAAATATGAATCACGAACTGGCAGTTAAACTAAGCACAGAGAAAAGTAGAAAAATAAAGATGTAAATACCTGCGACCTGACGAAAGCAGGCTACGACCCCGCTCCGTCAACTGTAATAGCTGCAGAGAAGCCATGGCTAGCTATAGTTCAAATCCCCCAAACTCCGCCAATTAATGATACCAGCAATGATGTCAATCGCTATCTCCTATACTATACCTGCAAAAGGAAAATTCCAAAACCTATTAGGGTTCATCATAATTAAGTTGATAGGTACTTGCGAACAACAACAAGAAGAAAAAATCAAAATTAAAGACATTCAAAGTTGAGAACAGAACAGCATGATCGTACTAAGAGGGGTGATACTGAAATCAAGTGGAAGCATCAAGAGTGTGGTTTTGATCGGAGTTTTGAGAGCAGAAATAGATTTTTGTTTATGCTACTTTTCGGGTCCAAGGGTGGGTTGGATCGGTGTTTTTGGCAGGTACGGAACCAACCAGGGCAAAATGAGGGGCGAGGGAGAGGGTAAGTATGGTATTTTGGTATTTGGTATATATTACTAGTATTATTAGTATCAGCTTAGATGCACCCATTCCAAGAAAATGGTCATTGCCGTTTTATCCCTTTTCCGGTATTATTCTATTCTTCTTGTATTATTTGTCCAAACAAATTACAATTACAAATTGTGGTGTACACATTAATGTTTTTAGTATATGTAAAGTCATGTTATCCTAACTTTTATTTTTATCATTTAGGTTCTAACTAGTAAAGTGACTTTTTTTATGTTTGGCGGGTTAGATTAATATCAATAGATTTTTTTAATTGAATGATATTAAAAGTACATAACCAAAAGACATTGTTAATATGAATAATTTTTTTTTTTTGTTGCATCATTTTATTTAATGACATAAATTGCTAAAATCTTAGGAAACAATAATTTATTTATCTTTAACTAATAATAGTATTCTATTACGTTTCTATACACATAGACAGAACTTAGTCACAATTTCTTACCTATAATGCATTCATGGAGTCATTCTTCGAGTCTTTACTTGTTACATCTACCAAAGTTTACGTCTTTCTCTCCTTAAGAGGGGTCGCCACTCCCCCGTGAATAGGAAAGTTCAATTGTTATTTCAATGGAAATGAAGATTCCTGTGAGGCAGCGGCGTCATCAGCATTTGGATATCATTTGGTATTTATTGGGGAAAAACTAAATTTATTTTCAACGAATAGAATTAACGGAAGCAAATATATAAGTAATAAGGATATTTTGATTTATAAATGTTTATTCTCTTTAGGTAAGTGTAACGTTCTAAAATTTAAAACTAAAAATTCAATTTTTTATAATAATAAACCATTATCCAAAACGTTTTTATAAAACCATAACGAAATCAGAGTATGTTAAAATCATCCAAATACACCAGAGTCAAATAAAAAAGCGGAGCAATATGGTGTGTGCAATGCGATCATCTCGAGCTCTTCCCCTTCGATCCAGAAGTTCCTGAAACACAAACTGGAAATTGTAAGCACGAAGCTTAGTGAGTTCCCCAAAATACCGCATAAAATACATGTATGCCAGCTCAAGGCTGTGTCGGGTCTATTTAAACCCTGAGTCTATTTCAACTCGTGTGTCGACCCAAGCCATACCTGGTCTATTTCACCCCCAAGTCTATTTCAACTCATATGTCAGCACAAGGTTATATCAGGTCTATTTCACCCCCCACATACATATAGCAAACAGGCACACAGGCATATAACACATACAACAGGAGTCACAAAGACTACAAGCACATAACATAGCCTACCATCCTACAATATAGTGAGCAAACTCACATCAGTCTGCTGAGAGTCAAAACAATTAATAGGAATGTTGAATCGGAAATTCCCACTAAATCATAAGTAAAGAAACCCTAATTAGAAATTAGGTCAATAATTTAGCCCGAGAGTCCAAACCCTAAATCCTGGCCTTAAGGGAAAAACTTATTCCTTGCCTTATTGGGCCTATCCCATCAAGGCCCAAATTCTACTAGCCACGAAGCCCAAAAGATAATCTATGTCCAAAATGGGCCCAAGCCCCAAAGGCCCATCATACAAAAGCTTACAACCCAACAAGGGCCCAAAGTCCCTAAACCCTACACATGGCCCAAAACAAGCCTAAGACCCACTCTGATGAGTACGCTCAGCGTACCAACCAGTACGCCCGACGTACTCACAACCCTCGCATCATCAGGACTTCAGACGCGTATACGCAGCGTACCCCAAGGTACGCCCGGCATACGCTGCAGCTATCCAAAACCTCAATCTAAGGTCTTAATCAGTTAAGACCCAGCATCCAATTTCATATATATGCTTATTAAAGTGCATTAAGCCATAAAGTTGCCAACTTTATGCTTTTGCATGTCTTAATGGGGAAAATATTGGATTAAACCACCTTTAATCCTTGCATGATTTAACTTAATCCACCAAGACTCCATTTTTATGTTCAAAGGACATTAGAAACACTGGCATTTAACATTATAACCTTCTGGAGTAGCTCATACTCTCTATAACACCTTCAAGGACCATTTTATGAATAAATAAGGCCTAAAGTACAAACTAACACATGGAGTCATCAAGGTAGAAGCTTTTTACCTTAAATAAGCTATAAATGATGAGAAAACTCTCGATCTACAAGATCTTTCTAATCCAATGGTTCTTCACAACTCTTTTCTTCTTCTTTAAGCACCACACACACCAAAAACACACACCAGCTTAAACTTTAGGGAAAAAAGATTAGGATTTCGAGATATGACTTAAAAGGCTGGGGAGGTTGAGAAGTGATGGGTTTTGAGCATTCTAACACTCATATGGTGTGCATGCAACCCTATAAACATTAGATCTATGTTTTCTCTATTATACATGCAAACTTTCTTTTTCCAAGGGTTCATCCTAACTAGCATGTGATTGGGGTATATGTAATATAAAAACTAGTAGAATGACATACCTTACTTGTAGCTTGGATTCCTTAAGCCCCTGTGAGCCTAGCACCCCAAATGTAATACCTCAAGTGTTTCACACAACACCACAACTATTGGAATAACTTGAGAGAAGAACACTTACACTCAAAAATCGGGTAGCCCTCACTTTCTAGTCTTAGTGGCCGATTTTTCTTACCATGACGTTCTTTATATAGTGTGTCACATGTAGGGTTATACCATACAACCCGTAATGTGCATGGCTTTTCATTTCCTCCATGATACATGGGTTTTACCCTCCATGGAGCATCCATGGAGCACCCTATGGGTTTTAGCCAAATCCAATGAACCATGGATCATAAGCCCACTATATAAGAATGAATGATTTACACAATCAATCCCCATATATTTAATTAGCCTATTTTGATCACAAAATTAATTCCAAATTAATTCTTGATCAATACTAATTAAATAATATTATTTCATATTAATATATTAGAGCTTATAATATATTAACAAATCATAAGTGTCATTTTCTCATTTTGTCTATCCAATTGTTACGATGTCAGGCAACCCAAATGGATCATGCCAAATCAGGTCAAATACATACCAAATATAGTTATGGACTTGGACACCTTATCCACCAGTCTCCCACTTGGATAAGTCTAATATATATAACTGCAAGTATGACTTCAGGGTCTGACCAACAACCGTAGCTCTTCCAAGGTCTTGTGGAACTAAGATGACCTGTTATTTAAGCTAAGTGATCATATAATCCTCTGTTCAAGATATCATCCGGACAAAGACATGGAACAATGTCGTACTTATTGTCCAACAGTTTGTTTCCCGATTTCCGATTTATTTGACATAAAACTTAACCGAACACATCAATTTAGTTCTGACCAGGCCTGACACATAAGTCAAAACAAAATCATCGAGGGGCCCAAGATATCGCTTTTAGTCCTCCAAGAACTAAAAGGAACAAATAAACTTCGACTCGTATGCTTGTACCAACTAATCATCAAATTTTACACAACAACACATTTTATAACATCAAGTTACTGATGCGTTTTCGTACTATCAATGTAGAACCAAGTCATAGTCAACAACTCATATCTCTTGGTTTGAATACTTATATGATATTATCGTTTCACGATCACTCGAGATAAATTCCATGAAGTGATACAAGTGAGCGTGGGTTGAATCCAATACTCGAATCTTATTTCAGAAGTACCCATGAACACTGCAACCCCTTTGTCTCAGACAAACTGCAGACCCATTCATGACAGTCTTGCCTCAATACTTACTTCCAAAGTATGATCGACTGTGGATGGTTTAAATAATATGATATACCATAACATAATTATTCTGGAAGTCAAAACATGCAAATTTGAAACAATAGTAAACGACTGACACAAGATAGTAACAATTTACTCATAAATAAACAACAACTTTTATTTAATCATCAAATGTCAATTACACTTTACAATATTCAAAAAAAGTTATCTAATTAGTAAAACTAATATCGTCCTTCAGCCTGATGCACCTTGCATGCTGCAAATGCTTAACCCTACACAATCCCTTCGCGAGGGGATCCACTGGGTTTTCATCCGATGATACACTCTTTGCCACGAGGAGTCCTTCTATTCGGTGTCTGATGAAGTGGTATTTTCTGTCGATGTGCATGTATCTATCGTGATCCCTTGGTTCCTTGGCTAAGGCAACTGCACTTTCACTATCACAGAAAATCCCCATAGGCTCCTTTATAGCTGGTACAACTCCAAGGTCTCTAATGAAGTTCTTTAGTCATATCACCTCCTTCGCCGACTCGCTTGCTGCTATGTACTCTAATCGCACGTTGAATCAGCTATCGTCTACTGCTTGGAACTTTTCCAATTAATTGCTCCTCCATTTAGGGTAAAGATCCATCCTGACTGAGAGCAGAAATTATCTCTGCCAGTCTGAAAGCTAGCATCGCTATACCCCACCACTATAAGTCATCACTCCCACCGAGGGTAAGGACCTAGTCCTTAGCCCTCTGCAGGTACTTAAGAATGTTCTTTACCGCAGTCCAATGAGCCTTGTCAGGGTTCCCCTGATATCTGATGACCATGCTCAAAGCAAAGGCTACATCAGGATGAGTACAAGTAATATCATACATGATCGAGCCTACAAGAAAAGCATATGATACTCGACCTATCTCAGCTATCTCAACCTCTATACTCAGGCGTTGAGTCTTACTCAATTTAGCGTTATTCTGGATCAGTAAATCACTTTTCTTGGAATCCTGCATGCCAAACCTATTCAACACCTTATCCAAGTAGGTATTTTGACTAAGTCCAATTAGTCTCTTACTCCTATCTCTCAATATCCTTACCCCTAGGATATAGGAAACTTCTCCAAGGTCCTTCACAACGAAACACTTCCCAAGCCAGGACTTAACCTCCTGCAGGGTTGGGATGTCGTTTCCTATGAGTAGTATGTCATCCACATACAACACCAAAAAGCTAACTATACTCCCACTAGCCTTAACATACACACAGGACTCATCCTTGCTCCTCGAAAAGCCAAACTCTTTGACTTTCTCATCGAAACAAAGATTCCATCTATGAGATGCTTGTTTTAATCCATAGATGGATTTCTCAAGCTTACACACTCTATTAGGGTACTTTGCATCGACAAAACCCTATGGCT